GTAACAGAAATGGTTTGCGTTGAAAGAGTCAAAGAGTATACACGACTCGAACCGGAATATAGTTGGGAATCAAGCGATGATAACAAACCCTCAGACACTTGGCCCACAAGTGCCTCAATAGAGTTCATTCATTACAGCGCTTCCTATAGACCAGGACTCGAACCGGTTCTCAAGAACTTGAACTTCAGGGTAGAGTCGGGAGAAAAGGTGGGAATAGTTGGCCGGACGGGTGCCGGGAAGTCGTCGATGGCTTTGGCGTTGTTTAGGATAATAGAGCCGACATTCGGACAGATAGTGATCGATGGCGTGGATGTGACTCGTATTGGTTTACATGACTTGTGGTCGAAGTTAACAATTATACCGCAAGAACCCAATCTCTTCGCCGGAACTCTTCGACTCAATTTGGATCCGTTTGAGGAATACTCGGACGAAGAGATGTGGACAGCACTGGAAAGGGCGCACCTGAAGGTAGGCATCAATTATAATAATATTTAAAATTTTTATAATTTATTTAATTAATGACTGTTTTGATGGACAGGACTTCATATCGAGTACATCCGATGGCCTCTCGTATGAGATCACAGAAAGTGGTGATAATCTGAGTGCAGGTCAAAGACAATTGGTTTGTCTCTCGCAAGCACTTCTTCGCCACTCAAAGGTCCTGATCCTCGACGAGGCGACGGCTGCCTATGATTTTGAAACCGATTCACTGATTCAGTCGACTATTAGGGATCAGTTCAGTGACTGCACTGTTTTGGCAATCGCTCACCGATTGAATACAGTCTTGGATTACAACACAATCATTGTTTTAGACAACGGAGTGATCGCTGAAATGGATTCACCGAAAAATCTTCTCAAGAAAACTGATTCTATTTTCTATGGTTTGGCCAAAGAATTCGCAATTGTTTAGAGAATTCGTTATTATTTTATTATTTATATAATTATCTAAAAATAGACAAATCGTTCAAAACATTATTCAAACTTTATATCAAAATAAAGATAACTTTTTCTAAAACTTTCATTTATTTTATTCTCAAATAAATCTCTTGAGTACTCGTCTTGTGGACAACGGTCTACTCCATAGACTATTGTCATAAGTGCTGTGAATAAATGTTTAGGAAATGTTAATTCACTCATTAATTGTAAATTCTTTCATAGGAATTATAAAATTATTAAAGAAAGTGAGGCATATATATGAGGCCATGGATGTCATGACTGCCAACCGTTGGTTATTATGCAATAATTGTACCGAAACTTTGCGAGCATAGCATCGACACCACAAATATTAACAAAAATAAATAGAAACGAAAAGTTTGCTCAAACTTTAGTCTGTAATACGATACTAACAGCGAGTGAATCAAACAATTAACCATAAGAGGTATGCAATCGACGAGGGATTTAGTTATAAAGTATGAGCCGGTGCTAAGCCCACCTAAAATACAATACATTTATTTTTACTTATTTAGTTGTACTGTAATTGAAATGATTGTCACATAAATACCGGTATAAGTGATGCTAAATAAATTAAAAACACCTTTTGTTCAGTAATTAGTTTTCGGTGCTCTTTGTCCACACAATTAACGGTTGAATTTGAAGAG